GGGCAGCCGGAGCGGAAAAGAACAAAAAAAAAAAAAAAAAAGACAGCCGTGCTGCCCTAGGATTGGGCAGAATGCCGCCTCCAACAATCTACCGCCCCAAGCATCAGCTTGCTCAGCTGGTGCCTGGAGCCAGCCCTGACTGCAGTCATCTTGAAGTTAACTCCTGTGTTTGCAATGGAAAGCAGAGACAAAGGGGGGCACCAGAGAAGCACGTGGAGCACTAGGCACAGAAGCTTTTGCATGTATTTGGCGAGTACAATAGTAGCTTGACTAGCTTAAAAAGAACAGAGAAAGCCAAAAATGTATGTGTTGCAACCTTCTTCCAGTCTGCAAATGTCAGGCAATGCTGCAGAGAACTGGAAAAAAAATCAGAGATTTGAATTTGTATTTAGTAGCCATGGGGCGGGGGGTCGGGAAGAAGAGAAGTGATAACATGAAATCATCTATCTTTTTGCATGTTGCTGTGGAGGAAGCATTGGATATTTATAACAACTTTAAGTCTGAAGAAGGTGAAAGAGTGAAGTTAAACAAAATACTGATTAAATTGAGGAACATTGCACTCGAAAAACAAATGAAACCTTTGAGAGAGAGAATTTTTTACATGCATGCAAAAAACTGATGACACCATAGACAGAGCGATACATCACAGAATTAAGGAAACTCAGTAAAACCTGTAACTTTAATGATCTGACAGAGACAGAATCATTTGTGGCATTAAAGACAATGTGTTAAAACTTTAGAAAAAGCTCTCCAAACATGCAGGGCAGCAGAAACTGTGAAAGCACAAGCCAAAGGGCTGAAGGGGTTATCCATGTACTGAGTACTAAAGAATATAGCCAGAATAGGTCAAATCAAAGAGTGGAACCACTTGCTATGAAAAACCACTGCTGGGTGGGTACAGGCGGCCTTGGGGAAGGTATGGATCACAGCATGAACCCAGTGTGTTGCCTTTGGAAAACTTCACAAATGTGGGGAAAATAATCATTTTGCAAAATGCTGAAGATCCGAAATGCAGAGAAGTCAAGCACATTCAGTTCCACGAAGGCCTTATCAGAAGGTAGGCACTGACTTATTTACCTGGCAATCAAAGGATTATTTAATAGTCACAGATCATTATTCTCTGTATCCAGATATTTGCACACTGCACAGTACTAATAGTAAGTCTGTGATAGCCAGCATGAAGGGAATCTTCTCCAGACATGGAATTCCAGATTAAGTCTTTAGTGATAATGGGCTGCAATTTTCCAGTGCAGATTTTGGGCAATTTGCCATAGATTGGGATTTTCATCACAAAACATCAATTCCAAACTACCCCCAATCAAATGGACTTGTGGAAAGGTCTATAGGGACAGTAAAGAACCTTATGAAAAAGACTTTTGACAGTGGGGGTGATTTGTATAAGGCATTACCGGTTTACTGAAGTACATCCCTGGAGAACGGCTTTCCTCCAGCTCAGCTGTTAATGGGAAGAAGGATCAGATTTAATTTACCAATTTCTGATAACTTGCTGAAATCGCATAACAATGAAATCATATGGAATATGAAAAAATCAGAAGTGGAAGCAGAAATATTTTAAATATTTCCCATCTCTTAATCCAGGTGATAAAGCGTGTGCCTGAGAAATCACACCTCTAATCCTTGGGGCCAAAGGGGTATCATTAAAGAACAGCTGCATCCAAGGTCTTGTGTAATCAGGACAGACCAGGGGACACATTTCAGTGTAATCAAAGGGATCTACAAGAAATCCCAGAAATTTCCAACACGTTGACAGCTAACGTGGACTCTGGTTTCCCATCTGACCGATTCTTTATCATCAACGCTCAAAGAAACAAGAGAACAACTCAGATGCTCATGAAAGGCTAATACTGAGAAGATCAGAGTGAGAGATTAAAGTCCTAAAAGACTAAGGCTGTGTCTACACTACGCAGCTTTTAGCAACAGCGCTGTGTCGCTACAGCTGTGTCACTAAAAGGCACACAATGTAGCCGCTGTTTGTCGGCTCTCCTGCCGACAAACAACTTCCATCCCCCAAAAGCGGCATTAGCGTTGTTGGCAGGAGAGTGCTCCTGCCAACAGAGCGCTGTTCACACTGGCGCTTGTCATCAGTAAAACTTTTGTCTTTCGGTGTGTGGGTGTGTTTTTAAACACCTCTGAAAGAAAAGTTGTGTCATTCAGTTGCCAGTATAGACAGCCTCAGAGAGACTTGCTAACCTGCCTGGATAGGGAGATTTGAGGCAAGTGAGTGGTAAAGACTCACTGAAGAGTGATGTGCTGGTAACCTCTCCACTCTAGGTACTTGACACATTGGGTTTATGGAAATGTACTAGATGGATTGAGAATGTATTATTGGAAAGTGGCTAGCTGTTTATATATAAATGAGTTAATTTGTTTTTCTTTAAGAGGGAAGAGGTAGAGAGATGTTTGTAGAAGATTATAATTTAGAGATGCTTCCTCATAAGGGATAGTATTATGAATATAGGAATTTGGAGTTGTGCCCTGGAAGCAGGGGTTAGGACCACCAGGGCTGAGTGCAGCAGCTCACCACAGAAGCTCTCCAGTTTTATTAAAAGTTTTATTCCTTTCATATTCATTTGGTTTGTTTAATGAACCCCAAGATCATTACAGTTAGTTCCTGGAGTTTAATTCTGCAGGACTAGCAGGGGAGTTCTCTGTAGAGGGTCTTCACCTTTGGAACTCATTCCCCAGCCTAGAGTCTAAGTCTGGCAGCCTTCAGAGCACAAGCTAAAAGCACTCATTTTTTGGTTTTAGTACTTGATAAAGTTTTCATCTGTTATTATAGGGGTTGCCACCAGATCCCCTATCTTTAGGCTGGGGAACATTTTATATTATCCATTTTGTTACTTAACCACATGATAAAATTTGTTTTTCACCCTTTTTCTTAAGAAGTTCAAGGCAATTACATACAAAACGTCAATTACTAAAAAAACTAGGAAATGCCAGGTTGCCTCAGAAACCTTAGTTCTGCCCCCCACCCCAGGTATATGCATTATACTATTATGTAAGGGGGGGGGGGCAGAACTAAAGCTGCAGAGGCAACCATATATCTGGCATTTCCCAGCTTTTGAGTGCTTGACTTTGCAACCTAAATAATATTCTTTTAATATAGTTTTTGTGGGCAATAGTATTTAAAGGTGTCAGTAGCATTGTATTGCTTATTTTTATTTTGTATCACATTGCTTGCCAAGGCAATGAGTACTCTAGAAGCTAAG